ACACAAAGTAAATGTCACAAGATGTCTTTTCCTTTTTACACACACTTCTAGGATATGAACTATACTGTTATATAGTATGTGTAATCAACAGCGACTCAGTATTGATCACAATACAACTTAGCGAGTTTAGCTTCCTCAAAGATAAACATAGCAGATGAAATAACTGGTTTCTAAACAAATCTATGTAATAGAAATGCGCCAAATAAACTTGTAAACATGTTGTACATTAATACTCACAAGCAATAACTCTCCAAGGCAGAAACGTTTTAAAGAGCAACAACATATTCTGCAGGCTAACAAGCGACCAGCTTCCTGTTTCCTCTACCCACAGGAACACAGAAAAACCCCACCAAAATAAAAGCTGGTGAGTATTCCCATTATGACCAGCAGAGGGTGCTGAAGAGAAAGAACCTATGCATGTCATAACACCGTGAGTTGTTTGGTACCGGGCCGTGAGACTGGAGGCTTGGGTGTCAAATTTATGGTTTTCAGGGTTTTTATTGGTTTTTATTGTTAACTCAGTTTCCCTGTGTGTTATTATTAAATCTCTTTTTTTTTTTTTTTGGGTAGCGGTGCTCGTTTTATTTTGTTGTATTTATCCACGACACCTTAAAGGCCGGTCCACGAAAATATTGTTGGACATAAACCGGTCCGTGGCGCAAAAAATGGTTGGGGACTATTGGTCTAATATTACAGGGACTGCAGACAAACTTTAGCAGTTTTTTCTGTGGTCAGGAATTTAAAAGGCCACCAATTTAACCCTTGGATGCACAACCTAACAATACCTACACTCTTCCACGAGTGGGCTCAAAAATGACCCCAAATAGAAACAATGCATTTTGCTATAAACTCGGTTGTTATTCTTCAAAATCTTTAAAACAAAGAGTTGTAATATTTTCATATTTGAGGTATTCCTCATAAAACATGTTTGTGACATGAGGCCCTTTGCATTTTTATTAGTTTTTTCATTAATTTTAAGAAATTGCAGTTTTTGTATCACTTTTGTATGCTTGCTCTGCATATACTGCAGAAGCTGGGTCTTCCTTCTGAAAGGCACAAGTTGTTCATCCACTGTAACACAATCACTGAGGATGAATTTCTGCCTGCAGTTGACCAGCAACAGGCCCCACATGTAGCAGAAAGCTGCCATGTGGTTTGTTTTCAGTCGGTAGGCTCTGGTCCTCTTGTCATCAAAGTGCAAGAAACGGCAAATATCTTTAAATCTTTGAATTGACATAGTGGCCTTGTACAATGGGTTATAGAGGACTCCCAAAAAACACACTGACTGGTACATCCCAGTTCTTCTCACTTCCTGCGAGAATGGTCAATCAAATGAAGGCCAGGAGCTTATGTTTGATTATATTTTTCCACTCTTTTCCCCTGTCTGTAACTACTCTTTGTGCCTCCATGTTTGTGTATGACAGCACCTCTTCTATTAAATTATCAGACATGAACATCTTCCATGCATCTATTGGGGAGACAGTACTAAACCCAGGTGCAAGCCCTGGCCGACTAATTCAGAATATTGTGGCTAGAGCAGTAAGAGGGGCTCATTCTGTTAGACTAAATATTCATTTCCTCTTCAGAGGACTCATCAGAGGACTCCTCTGTATCTGACTGGCCTTGTCCAGCGGGGGGGACAGTAGTCTGGGTCCTCTATATCTGAGATGTCAGATTCTGAGTCAGTGCCTCCGATGGGCTCTTCATCCCATCCGTCCGGGATCATTTATAGGGCAAGGTCCACAGGGATCCTAGCTGGCCTCATAGCAGCCATGTTACTTTAGGTATTTAAAAAAAAATCATAAAGGACAATGTTTGAAATGCACAGGAAACTATAAATAGGGCTGTACAAAAATGGTCCTCAGGTGCGCATTTGCTGTCAAAATAAAAGACGTGCACCAGATAAGAAGTTGGAACGCTCGTTTGCGTACATTAGATGTTCTGGAGGAGGACAGACATTTGTTCAGAACTCTAAAGATGTCGAAGAAGCAAGCTCCGTAAGCAATTACTTTGGCGTTCCTCCACCGCAAAAGAAGTGCGTATTCTATTAATTTCCGGGAATACTTTTATTTTGACAGCGAACCACTTATGTGCAGCCCTGACTATAAATCATGTATGTTACTGTGTAAAAATTAATTCTTGATCCGTCAGATGTGTAAGTGGGACAGTCAGAGTTGCTAAGAATGAAAGTTTCATAGAAGATTCCATAGGAACTGCTTGGGGTCATTTTTGACCCCACTTGTGGAAGAGTGGGGTAGTGATTCAACAACAGCATTTTTTTTTTTTTAATTAATGAAAAAATTAATAAAAATGCAAATGGCCTCATGTTACAAACATATTTTATGAGGAATACCTGGAATATGAATATATTACAACTTTTTATTTTAAAGATTTTGAAGAAAAACAACCCATGGGGTCATTTTTGACCTCACGTGTGCATCTAAGGGTTAAAAAAAAGAAAAGAACCTTTTTACTAAATATTCAGCTCATGTTATTTATTTTTGTTGTCATATGAAAGAGTTCCCTGGATTGTTTAACCAAATTTCATCAGGTTTTTGGGACTAAAACGGCACCAATTTCCAAAACTGAAAAAGCTTCCATTCAGTCTTCAGTCCAATAATCAACTAACCAAGTGTCTTACCATGTACCCACAACTGTATCCTACTATGACAGACAACAAACTGATAATTTAAAATGGCAAGCTGAGAAAAAGACATCCTTGTTTCCCGTGGTGCATTCTCACCACTTGGCCCTTCCAGTTGAATCAGCAGCTGCCGCAGGCATTAGCACCCAGGGAAGTGTAGTAACAGTGGCCCTGTGGTTAGCAGTTAGAGGAAAACAAGTAATTAGCCCTGATAATTAAATCCAGTAGTCAGCTTGTCAGCTCAGGCTGTAGAGCCAGTCTTGCTTTGCTGTCCATTTGCATAAACATTAGAATTGGTTCGTACAAAAATGAGGAATTAGCCGATTAATTATGTTCTATTATCTGCCCGGCGATAAGTAAATAAACAATATGCTGTGGAGAAATGAAATGGGATAATGGCTGGTGGGAGGATGAAGAGGAGGAGAAAGGCAGGGTTGTGGCGCTTAACAAACAGTGGTACAAATGAGGAACATAAGCTGGCTGTGCCCTCTCGCCGGACTGGAACGATTTTTTTTAATTTGCGTGTGCGCTTGTGATTTAAACTGTTCATTTCTGCCCTGGCGTGTTTACACCTATTGTTTGTGAAAATCAACTTTGCGTGTGTGTGTTTGCACAGACACATAGTGTGCACTTTCCTGGTTTTGCATTCTGTCCTGTTGGGTTCTTGTTTACCCAAGGGGGGAGTCATCAGTAAGGGAAGTGCTCTTTGTCTCTCATTAGAGCAGCTCTTTGATTTCATTAATTACTGACCTACTGCTGCTGCTGCTGTGGTTTGGCATAATCTGGCATTCTAACCGCTCACAGCTTTCTGCTGCTGCTCCACTGTGCATTATTTATTTATCGCCTTGGCTTGATAATTGATAATCATGATTTCCCAGGGAGTCCTCTTTTGGTTTGTGTATGCATGTGTTTACTTGTGTGCTTATCCTGGGGATCTGGGACACCTTTTTATGTCCCCAGATTTCTTTTGTTGTTTTTTTGGCTTCTTTATATTATAGTGAGTGCAGCACATCTCTCGTGGAGCAGCCGGCTCGATTCTTCTGATGAGCTCCCATCTGATATGACTGTAACATCACCAGCTGCACAACAAGATCATTACAGGGTCATTACAAATGAGCTCGTTGTCCCTGTGCTCATACACAAACTTGGGAAGCTCTTTAAAAGATAAAAACTACTTGTGGTGGAATTTGCATGAAGAGAACTCACCTCACATACAAGCACTGATTGAAGAATTCCACTTATTATTCAAATTGGTTTTCCTTTTCTTTTTTTTTAACCTTTTACCTCCACAGTCTAAACCAGTATTCAGCAAAAAGGACCAACATGCCCTTCAAATTACATTTTAAAAATACCTTATTTAATCTATGTGTTATAATTAGTTATTCATTCATCCTTTTTTTGGTGACTTCTGCAGATGGTTTCTAGTCTACCAATCTAACATTGTCTCTAAAACCCTGTAGTTCTAGCCCTGCCCACTGTTTAGTTCCTTGGAATTTCTACTTCTGCAGATTTCCTGCTGTGTTCCTTATGAAGGCAGTCATGCAGTGAATGCACGAAATTAGTTAAAATCTTTTCTTTTTTGTAATATTCCATCTCACATCTGATTTAATCATGTCCCATCCCTGCTGTCCTTAATCACTGTTCAATAGTATTTTGACAGACTCGTGTCAGAGTTGAACACTGGTCTGTTTTTCTGGTCTATT